AACTTTCACACTGAGGCATCAGATCAAACAGTTACTGATTTGAGGAAGTGAACTGAAAGGAGAAATACCTTTACTAACTGTAAATGTTGGACTACAGAGAAAGTTTCTAAGTCTAAGCAGTGCAGGCTTTTCCTTGCCAGTTTGGACTCACTACAGCTTGTTGACTACAGATATAACTATTCCACTTACCTCTGTCCTCTAGAGCAAACGATGATGAATTCTGCCCCTGCTGCACTTTGCAGATCAACTCCAGAGTGAAGTCTAATTAGAAGCACACTATAACGGTCAACTCTGGATATGATTTAAACTCTGTGTTACACTGAGAGCTTAAAGAGACTCAAATAAAGAGTATGCTAGCTGTAAATCAAGCTGTACTTTTTTTCTTAATGAAATATTTAATTTATTTTCTATAATTCAATAATGTCCAAAGCAGACTGCTAAGGCAGACTATTCTTTTTATGAAACACCACAAAGGTAATTTTAAAACATTCTAGCAACATGCTGCCCTTTACTGACCTGAGCAGTTGGCTGAAGTTCAAGGCCTTGCTGATTGCTTTGGTCAGGAGAAGAAATCAATGGAAGAGCTGTCTGCTTTAGACATCATCCTCAATGTGCACTGTATTACCTCAAATAGTTTCTTTCAAGCACAGAAGCACTTGAACAGAGACTCAGAGAGAAAGAGAAAGGAGAGTAGGTAGCAGAAGAACACACCTTAAAGAGTAAGTTACTGGTAAGCAGCCTTTCTACCTTCTTCATTTCTTTGTGCATATATATATTCACACGAGTAACTTCTACATGGGAAAAAAAAAACATGACATCATGAGAGGGAGAGGTGGATTCTCGGTTTCACATTTTCAGGTTTGCTATCCTTCAGCCAGCTGGGTTGTTGGATAGGGAGAGCGTTGGTTTGCAGCCGTTGTTAACTCATCCGGGTGATCATGTTCCTCGCAACCGAGAATAGTGACAAAGTTAGAGTGCTAACAGGGTTGGCAAGAAAGGTGACGATAACACAGGGTCTGTTTCATCACTGCCAGCTGATAAATTCTTAGTGAGTGACCCAACCTGTAGAACTGTTGAACTGTGGTGAATGCTCAGGTCACAGCACTAAGGCAGTCTGGTCCTTCAACAGCACCTCCTCATGGAGACAAGCAGAATCTCTGCCTGGCGATGACTGTGGTCAAAAACCTGCTCACTGCACTTAGGCCAGCTGTATTTAATGTTATCTACAGGAGCCCCAGGAAGACAGAAACAGGCTCCACAAGCAGAGCATTCCTTTCTTTTTGTAGAAGAGGAGGGAATTTCTGAGGTAAAAAAAATTATAACTGGCAATTGTATTCAGAGATAATCAAGAGCTGAATAGATTACTACTCATAATGTTAAAAGAGTAAGTTCAATAACTGCCTCCAGATGCTTCTTTCCTCCATCATCAAAGACATGACTGTTTACACTCTAAAACTTTCTAAAATAGGAAAAACTTCAAAGAAATAGGCAGATATCTGTAACATTTGGCCAATTGTTCTTTCTGCCATTAAAAAATGTCAAAACAGACAAAATTCAGAGGAGTCAAATCTCAAATATTGTCAGCAGGTTGTCTACTGCTTGAACAAACAGCATATTCAGATATCCTCTAACATGGCTCCATAGTAACCAGCTCTAATAATCAATAGGCTTTCTGTGTTGGCAGTGCTGCTGTGTTGTCCATCTACCTTTCTGGATCAGTGCTTGCTCCAGATCTTTGTGCTTCACATACCGTGGGGTCACTGAACTTTCTTTTTTCCATTCAGTTATACTCTCAGAGTATATGCTGGTAACTTATTTTTACACATACCCTGAATAATTCATATTTTTAACCAAGCTATCCCAACACTTCACCACCCCAGATGAGTGTTGGGTGCATCAAGAAAATGGTAATACAGAAACGAAATTTCATTGACTTATCCATACTCTACTAAGGTTAAGCATCAGAAGGATGCTCAGTAACATATGCTGAAAATAACCACTAACTTACCTATTCAGCTGATGTGGATTGCTTCCAGACCTATCAAGCCCTCAGCTGAAGGCAGGACCTGATAATAAATACATGACTCTGGCTGAATCAGAATGAATGGGGAAGCCCAGACAGGCCATCAACTTAAATATATTTTATTTGTGATATCTGTGATTCCAGAAGCTGAAATCACATCATGGTATATGGGATCTCACCCCAGCCATGTCACACATCAGCTCCGTTTACCCCTCCCACACTGTGTGTCGTGGCTCCTGTGATTACTGACCTTCTGACAAGATTAGGAGGAAAGTTTCTTCTGGTATGAAGATTCAGAGCTTCCCATGTCAATATCCCTTACCACAAGTTAGAGTGAACCCTGACTGCCTAAGCATGCGGCATGTCCCTTTGGCCTGACTGATGGCATTGAAGAAACCCCTGAATGCACTGAGAAGTATGCTAGACATTAAAATCAAAAGTGTCTTTATTGCATAACAGTAACACACAGAGCAGGATAATCAGCTGAGTTTTAAAGTACTGCCATCACCCCCAGAGATGGTTTGAATTGGTCCAATGTGATTTGTAGGGTAGAAAATCTAAGTGAGAAAAAACAATGCATGTCTGAGGGAAACATGGATGTAAAAGAAAAACTTACTTTAAACTGGAACCATTCACAGACACGTGTATGCACATGCACACCTAAACCAAGGCTGAATTATGGTAACTGTCAGATGCTGCTACTGAACAGATATTGACTAGGAAGCATCCATTCTGGTTGATGCCTTACTTTTCTTGCAGGATTATCTGTGTTTCTCACTGAAAGCAGCAAAATCTTCACTTCCATACAAGCACTGAAAAACTAATGCAGTTTCTTGGCACTGAGTCACATATGAGCAGGCAAATTGACATGAAAGCAGATGAATCCCCAACTCAAGCAGATGAACCCCCAGCTCTTAGTTACTCCAGAAGGCATTCCCCCTCCCTTTCACAAAGGTAACTGCTGCTTCCAGCCTTTTATTGGATTTGTTTGAATTGGCTCCAGTTACAAAACTCATCTTGTTCTTCCTTTGCAAAGGTAAAAGCCACACTTTCCTGGCAACTTAATTGTAAACAGTTTTGAGGCAGAAGAATGAGCTCTAACAGAGAATGTATAGATGCAGCTGAAGCTTTAAAGAGACAAAATGTAAATTCAGTGAATCTGAATAATTAGAGGAGTCGGGGGGGGGGGGGGGGTGTTTTGTGCGGGGGGGGGGGGGGTGGAATTTTAGTGTTCCCTTTAAAATATTAACATATCCAGTTAAAATGAACATCCAGTGTGAATTTCTTTTCCCTTTGACACAAGCACCCAGGTGTAGCACAGCAATTACTTCCAAAACCATAGCTGTGTGGACAAAAGGTGTCTGAACAGGGTTATCTATCCAATGCGTTCGTTTTTCCTCTCACATTTCTTTTGCACTGCTGTAATTCTGTTATGTTCCATGCAGTTTGGTTTTGTTAATTAATATTCTAAAATCAGCTGACCTTCAGAGAAGGTCACAAATTTCTCCAAGCTACCTGTCCTGGTTTCAGTTTTGGCTGGGATAGAGTTAATTTTCCTCCTAGTATCTGGCATAGTGTTGTGTTTTGGATTTAATATGAAAATAACGTTGATAACACACTGATGTTTTCAGCTGTTCCTAAGTAGTGCTTATACTAACTCAAGGACTTTTCAGCTTCCCATGCTCTGGCAATGAGGAGGTGCAGAAAAAGCTGGGAGGGAGTATAGCCAGAACAGCTGACCCAAACTGGCCAAAGGGATATTCCATACCATATGACTTCATACAAACTGGGAGGAGTTGGCCAGGAAGTGGCAATTGCTGCTCACGACTGGCAGGGCATTGATCAGCAAGCAGTGAGCAACTGCACTGTGCATCACTTGTTCTGTATATTATTTTATTATTATTATTTCTTCCTTTGCTGTCCTATTAAACTGTCTTTATCTCAACCCACAAGTTTTCTCACTTTTACTCTTCCAGCTCTTCCCCCCATCCCACCAGGGCAGGGTGGGGAGTGAGCAAGCAGCTGTGTGGTGCTTACTAGCAGCTGGGCTTAAACTACATTACCTCTGATGGCTTCTTTACAAGGAAAATACACCAACTCAATATGCAAAATTCAGCATTCAGATTATATGAGAACTGAAATATTCAAAATAAAGTCTGTCACTTGCAGCTGACCTAATGTTCTGAAGCTAGAAGGATATATATTTGTCCTTAGTTTCAAACATAAGAATAACTATGTACTAGGTACTATGAAAATATGGGGTTTTTCTACTGGGATGAGCATATATATAATTTCACATTTTACATTAAATAAAAATTTTAATTTTAGAATAATCCACTTCTTTTTTTGTTATATATAAAATGGCAACTGGCCCCATTACTTCTTAGGAATACCTACGTATTTACAGCTTATCCCAGCTGGAAATTCTCATCAGGTGATTAACATCCATGACACAGGAGTCATTGCTACAACACAATTTTCTGATACGTTTTGCAGACTAGTCCCTATCCTTTGGCTATAATAAGTGTCAAAAACATCAGTCTGCCACCTAAGCAGTTTGAAAGCACAACTTTTTCTGCTTGTCCAGGCTGAGACCTGCAGGGAAAGACAGGAGAATTCAGTCCATTCTTAACTGTTTATTTTCTGCTTCAGGTTTTTGAAGGACTCAACAAAAGAATGCTCAAGGCAAGGTACTGCTTTTGGCTGATTCAGCTTTACCATGTAAGTGCATGTGAGAGATAGAGTACAGCCCATCCTTATGCCTGCAAACATGACTTAAATATACAGTTGAAGTTTTCAGATGTGCCATAATACTTATATGAGGAAAATAAAAAAAATGTATTATGTAAAATACATATCTTAAAACAAGATAAAGAATACTCTAAAATTTTTCAAATTCTCATAATTGAATTTCAAGACCATGAATATGGAGAACATGGGTTAAAAAAGATAAGTCACATGGTCCATCAGAACTCACCATTCAACCACTTGGAATTGTACTGGGCAGTGCGGAGAGGAGGAAGGGCCCCCAGACTGCGATAAATGGCAGGATCCCTTCCTGGAAAATCCATAGCTGTAGCAGCATATAATTCCCCACTGGAAGTGAGAAGAGCAGTAGAGTTGTGCTGAGGACTGTAAGGACAACGAGCCATGCCACTGATTTGATCATGTATCTCTGTCAAATTACTTAACTGTAAAAGAGCAAGAAAAAGGGATTAAAATAACCTGAAAATCATACTTTCAGCCAAGCTCCATCAATCTGAGCAAAATCCTATCATAAACACCAGGTATCTGCTTTGGTATTTTACAACTGGAGCTGGCCTTTATATCAGTCTGAAACTGTCTTATATAGAAAGTTTTACTGTAATGTTATTTGATCTCGCTTTTGACACTGTGGTATGTAAAACATGCAAGTTCATCACTACCCATCATGCCTAAAATGTTTTATATTAGAAGTGACTTAAAAAATAATTATCTCTACACAGACGGTTATTATGAAAAACAGATCGGATCACCAGAATCAACCAAGGTATTCACTGTAGCAAACTGTCAGACAATGAAAAAAAAAAATCTATTATTTGTTTTGTTGGTGTGTTCTAGGAAAGAATCTCATATGAAAAATTAGATTTAAAAAAAAGAGCTTTCCAGTTCAGCAGAACTACTTGGATTTAGTAGCCCTAATATTTTCAGCCATAAACCACAGAATGATGTTGATTCATTATTTGAAAATAAAGGTACAATAGGTTTAAATATAATAAATGTGCCAAGGAGTTTTGTGGTGATACAGCTATTCTTTGTATTTAAAAGCCTCTCCCCTCCTGAAATGCATAGCCAGCTTAGTCTAAAAAGTGACATTTTGATTTTTGTTATGACTATTATTGATCCTCAATGGACTCTCTTTGATACACATAAATTGCAAATAGCCTTTTTTCAGAAATAGAATGACAGATTTTCCCAGCCAAGATTTCTCATCCTCACCAGTCAAAAATCACTAATATGGGTACACTCATGTTCTCCAGAAATACACATACACAGTATGCAGCTACCCAGCTACATATTATAACCAAACCAGTTGATGCCAAGCAAACTCAACAGAGTGGCAGAAGTCTTAGAAATACCTAAGGTTCATGAAAATTGGCACGTGGGAGGAACTGAGCTGCTCATAGCTGTGCTCTCTCCTCCAGCTGAGGAAAAGACTGAAAAAAGAGTTCATCAGTTAACTCCCCTCTTTGGCCTGCCTATAGCCACATTGGCCTTTCACACGTTAGCTCACCAATCAATACACAAATGGCCTGGATTCAGCCACAGTGTGTTCTGCCTTTTGTTCTTCTGGCTCAGAAGAGGGACTCGAGCTTGTGGGGCAAAACGTTTAACTCGTACCGTTCGATTGGTGCAGATAGGAGTGAATGCATTGGTTCCACAGGTAAAGAGATGGTTGCCTCCAACAAGAAGCACTCGAATGTAGTTCTGGCATTCCTCCTGCCATGCAGAAAAGAAAGACTATGTTCAGCAATACTTCAAAGGACAGGGGAGACTAACTATGATTTGCTTTCCATGGTTATGTGTCCACACATAAAAATTTAGGGGAAACAAGGCTTAAGCATACCTGATGTGCTAGCGGTCACGGTATACATAGATTTCCTAACTAACATGCATCCCATGAACCTTGGTGAGAAGTTCTTAATAGGATAACAATAAACCTCTTCAATACTGAAGATTTCTTCTAAGTGTATATTTCAAAGGTTCAGCTAAACTCTGAAGTGATAGACATTGACTTAAATAATACACTGCTATCTCAAGAGATCAGATGCTGTTTTTGAAGACAGATCAGTCCAAAGGAGGAAGTTGGAAGGAGAAGAGGAGAACGAACAGGTTGTCGGTAAACATGAGTATGTTGAAACCAGTAAAAATAAAATTCTTGAGATGTTCAGGTGCAGATTCATCACTAGTAGTTTCATAATTTGCGCAATTTTTTTTTATTAGAAGCATTTGTGTTTTAGTTAATTTGAAGTTTCTCAAGAAATTTCACTACCTCAATACATAGATACTCACCCCAAGGAATAATTTTCATGTTTTTTACCCCATTAGGATGTGTGAAGGCTTTATGATGTTAATTTCTTTTAATTCAGAAGCTAGAAATCAAGAGCAATTTCTACTGTTTATTCAGACAGAAAGCCTTTTTATGTAATCCTAAAAAACTCCCAGAACTGTATGTAGGAAAGATTCACACACTCTCCTGCAAAAATCAACGTCTCTATCTAATAAAACTAAGAAAATCAACAACATGTTCAGAGAAAATAAAGTAACCTAGAACCTTCAACTTGAATGCTCTCTAGCATTCATTCACAAGATTGCCTCATGTAAAGCATAAAAAAACCTTGTGAAAATACAGTTATGCAATTCTAACAGATACTAAGTGGAATCATTTAAGTAAATCCATGTAATGGTATTGGTCTAGAAGTCTTATTATCTGGCCTACAGCTATATTAAATGTGTTGCTTGTTTATCTTGAAAATAGACTCTCATCCTGGAAGACAAGACATATAATCCTCAATAAATTGAAGAGGCATAAAATGGACTGCAAAGCAAGATGGGCAAAATATTTTAAAGATCTCTGAGAAAACTCTCAGAATTTTTTATCTATACCTTTCCTCATACAATATAAAGTCAACAACCTCTCACACCAAGTCTCAGAAAAAAAAAAAAAAAACAAAACAAAACACCTCTTTGAAAAAAAATGCCCTGCAAAACTATAATTGCATTAGTCTCTCATGAAAATGTAGCTTTTAAATGCTTCTCTTTGAAACCTTAAGGGTAAGGGTCAAACACCTTAAAATTAAGATTTGATTCCCATTGGGTAAAAATACAGCATCTTTATCTTGAACTTACCCAAACTGTCATCTTAATATTCTTTCAACCAAACAGAAGCTAATATGCAACCATGCAATATTGTTGGGAGGTGCAACAAGCCTTTTAAAAAGTAACTATTTCAGTTCTGGGCCATTTGCCTATTGCAGGTTGGTTTAACCACACACACACACACACAGAGGCAATTCCTCTTTTTTTGTGGGAAGTGTGATCATGGAGGGTCATAGAATGTAACACAGTCATTTATTATTGGGGCTGTTTCCATCCTGCCCTTCACAGCAATCTATGGAATGCAAGTGTAGGAAAAACAAGTGGGTAATGACATTACAACCCATCCAACCTCTCCTCTTCATGTTCCCAAGCTCCCTGAAATAGTGCCATTGCCAAATTACTTGCACGCTGAACACCCACTCTTTCTGTTCAAAAATAATGTTAATTTTTTAAACTCTGACATTTCTGGGATTAATGAGATTCTTCTCTTTAATGTTGCAAAGTCCTGTGCCAGCTTCACAACAATCCATACTGCAACAGGGCAAATATATCTCATATGAAATTTTTATTGGGTACATAGTACAGCAAAATCAAAACTGAAAGAACAGCTTTTACAATTGGCTATTTTCTTCATATGACAAATCCACAATAATACAAAATAAATTTTTTTAAATATAGTCATTAATAAAACAACCACCACTGAAAAACATATTGAAAAAGAAGTCTGTTATTTAGTCATTTTAGTTGTTCAGAGTCACTTTTCTAGCTCTGGAGTCAAGCTCAGCTGGTTCACTTTTTAGATGTACAAAAAAGAGACACGTTATAGAATTGACACTGGTGAATGCAAAGGACTTCAAAACCAAAGGTTTTTTTAGTTTGGAGAGTGATGGTAGGTTTGGTGGCCTTCTTTTACGTAGTCATACTCTCCATTTCATCTTGACGTCTATGCTATATACTTCCCTATTCTCCTACAAAAATATCTCTGAAATAAAGAAATTAATTTATCAAGTGCTTTCTACTTTTGTATCAGCATATCTGAAACAAAAAACAACTCTTCCTCAGACAAGCAGGGTAGGTTGTTACTTAAGACCAACTTGACAGTTCAAGGACAAACCGGCTACATACGGTTATCTATTTGCAGCAATATTTCTTGTGTAGGGTAACATTTTCAACTCATCTCTGTTTATTTTTTTAATGCTTTTATAGAAAGTTCAGATGCTAACACACACAGCCATTAGAATCTTAAATAAGCAAGGGATAATAGAATTTACATAAATTATGTAATTTTTTAAATCTCTCTCTTTGGTTTATTGTATTTTTACGGTGTATTTATATTTTTCCTTTATAACAGTCCCTACCACAAGTGCCAGTCTGAGTGGCCAAATTTATTCTCTTAACCATGTGTGGTGTTTTAGACTTCTAAATGCTAACACATGCTGGCCACAAGGACATCATTTTGTCTGGCTTGCTCCTGGGGCCACTACTTATTTTAAGCAACAGTTTTGTAGATAAATGTCTGAAGTCTCAGTAACAAACATCAGCCTTCAAAAGTCAAATGTGCATTAGGCTGTCAAACGTGACAGATGTCCCTATATATTTTCCCCTTCAGCTCTTTTCCCTTGTTGACTCCTAAAGCATAAACCTCAGAATAACTATTGCTAACAGCTAGAGGCAAAAATCCTATGCAGCTTCTTCCTCAAGAACAAAAAAAGAGTTGTGTTTAACTGACTATTATCTCAAAACTACTAGACTTGCTTAAGGGTTCAAAGCTAGCTTATGGTTTCAGGGCACTCCCATCAGCAAACTGATTTTTAGTTTTGCTGTGTGAACCCCATGGGCAGCAGAGCTTCAAGAGAAACTAGGATTTGAATAACTTAACCACAGCCATCCTTGTAAACCTCTTCTCTCCTCCTCCACAGTCTGAGATGGCCTTGTGTATTTTGTCTACAATCTTTCCTGTCCCTTCCCTGCAGTCACACATGTGCCTGCCCTGAAAATTGAAGTTGCCATGAGAAATGTTATAGAAATGCAACCCCCAGCAACTCTCCAGTTTGGGTTGGATCTATTTATACAACAAGCAAGCAAGCCGTCTTTCCAATCACAGTAACAGGAACTGTGTCTCCCAGGGGATTTCCTGTGAAGAGAGACAATTCACTGTAGCACTGGAGTGAATTCCTCCTCGTCTGATAATTCACAGTTTTTTCCAAGGGAAGGCTTTTGTGGTTTGACTAGGAAGAGGAGTACGCCACAGATCAGGTACTCTCCTCAACAGCATGCATAAGTCCTCCTTATATAGAGGGTATAGTGACCTTGTTTTAAGTCTGGACATAAGGCAACAGAAGACAAGCACCATTAGGCCACCTTTCTCTGGCCCTAAATTTATCATTTGATTTTAACCTCGATCACATCAGTGAATGCAAAAGAGGCATGAAAAGTTCAAAAAGAGAGTTGTTGTTCCAGCTGGGTAGGTTGCCTCAGTCAATATCTCTGCATTCTCCAGCAACTCCCACATGAAGCCTTCAGGCCACAGTCTGCACATCAGAAAAACAAGCCCTACAGTAACAATAAGAAAATAACTATTTCCTCCCAGGATTACCTTCAAATGTAATGAAATATAAGGATTGTACTTCTCTTCTAGATCATGAATGAGGAATAAGACGATGGATACAAATGAAATACTAAATCTTTATCCAATAACAATAGTAAGAAGCAATCTCAGAGGTCATTATTAGAATAGTGTATATGTTACTTTACAGTGACAGCATGACTTCCAATCATCAGCTTCTTCAAAAGTGTTTTATGAGCATCAGTGAAAATCTTCACGTATGTACTACACTAAGGTCCATTCTGAAATGTATTTCACTAGTATTGAGCATTTCTCCTAGCAAAATTATTTAATAGCAACACATGTTTCTCTGTTGTTGAATTGAATGTGGATTTTACACCACAAATGGTATTGTAAGCAAAACATTCAAAAGCACACTACTGTAGTTTCAAATTTACCATTACTTTCATCCATCATGTTAGATCACAGTCACTGTACTGTGACTTTCAGACAAGCTGAATGTTATTCTTACATTTTAAAACTTGGAAAATCACTGTAAAACTGAGGCATAAACCTTTAGTTACACATTGCATTTCTACCATGATAGTTTCTACTGTATATGTACCTTGATCAATGCAGCTTGTCATATTCCATTGTCACTTAAGCATGCTCTCTTACTTCACAGTATTGTCATCTGAAAACTAAGCATGAATGCTTGAGGGGTATATTACATGAAGAAGAATAAATCTTCCAGGGAGAAATGACAACTGACAAAACGAAACATTTGCTTAAACTATGAGATCCCAGAAGTTCTTTCTTTTCTCTCTACAAACTGAAATATTGTAGATCAGAACGTTTGCTAGATGCTACTTTTGCCATTAAAGCCGCTGTACATAACTTTAGTCACTAGAGTTTGTCTACTCAAATTAGAAATCCTCTAGTAAGATCTAACCCATTTATTTTCTCTAGCTATTAATACCTTCTCTATAGCTACCAAATCCTGCACTTTAATAGCTAGTGACCAGTAACTTAAATACCTGTTTCCCACACTGGGGTGGAAAGAAAGGAAAAGGAGAAAGACAAACAAGGCAACACAACTCTTAACACTTTTTTCCCAGTACTGTAAACTCATTTATACAGTGAAAGATATTCCTGGATAAAGACAATCATCTTCCCTGCACGAAGCTTTACGCTTGTGATGGGTTTACCCTTGGCTAGGAGCCAACCCCTCACAACCACTCACTCACCCTCCCCCTTCCCAGGGATGGGGACAGAATTAAAGGGGTAAAGGGAAAAAAGACTTGTGGGTTGAGATAAGAATACTTTAATAAAAGAACTACAATAACGAAAACAATATATACAAATATATAAACGAGTGATATACAGCAGTACTTCTCACCACCTGATGACCAAGGCTCAGCGCACTCCCAGCTAATGATCCCGGAACAGGGAGAGTCCCGAAATTGCACTCACAGAACAGAGATAAGAGCCCCAGCGTCCCAGACTGAGAGCTGACCGAGGGAGGGAGAAGGCCCTGGGAGAGGTACCACCCTGAGAGAGCCAACCTGGAAAGAGAGCTGACCCAGAGCAAGAAGGGAGATCTTCCAGAGAGCCCTTGCCTATATACTGGGCATGACGTGCATGGTATGAAATAGACCATTGCCCAATTTGGGTCTCAATCCTAAACCTAAGATCGAATCCTGGGCTAGTAATTGTGGCTGTGCTCCCTCCCAGCTTCTCCTGCACCTGCAGACACTGGCACAGCAGAGAAGCTGAAAAGCCCTTGACTGTCCTGGCAGCATCTATAAACATCAGTGTGTTATCAGCCTTCTTCTCAGCAGAAATCCAAAACACAGCCTCACACTAGATATTATGAAGAAATTTAACTGTCTCAGCTGAAGCCATGACAAGGCCACACACTCACTGCACTTGCTTTTTTTCCCAAGTAATTCTTTTTCTGTCCTCACAGTGTAACATGGCCCTGCTTCTGAAGTGAGGTCACTCTTCCTCTTTAATCTCAAACGGAAATGGATAGGACAAGGGTACACTTCAATATTATCTTCCAGCATTTAGTAAAAGCTAGAAATTAACTGTTTAATGGAAGAAGTTAAAAAGTCAATGATTAGATGACTATGCAGAAGAGAACCCTGCTCTATTAGATGGTAGAAGCATTTGCAGTATGTTTGTGAAGCTTGGGAGTTTTTCAAGTTTTGCACACCAGTAACATATGTGGACATGTTCTACCAAATGTGGATCCTGAAAGCAAATGTGCTCTTCTGTAGCTACTGCTCTTGATGTGTTTTCCCTTTATGTTTTAATTCAATTAATTTTAATCATTAAATAGTATAATAATTACTGACATAAATTGTATGCTTTTCTAACTGCTTTTACAATTATTTTGATAACTAGATTCAGCTTAGGACAGCCACTAAATAACACAGCATCCATACAGGTTCCATTTTAGCCTTGCACTTACCTGTGCTGAATAAAAGAAATTGTAGTTGGTCAGATAAGGAATTGGTTCTGAATACTAAAATATATCAAGTCCCATGTCTAAAAAGTTAGTGAATTTCATATTATTTCCTTCATAATGCCAGTAGACATGAAATATAAATGTTCCTAAAATTGCATCTAATATACAGGGAAATAAATTAAGGATTTTACAAAGTAATTACACAGTTACTCGGGAATTACAACACTGAAAATGAAGTGAGAATGCAGGCCATTGCTTATGACATGTTGTAGAGTCAGAACAATAAATTGTTGGAAACTGAAGTTCTTGATAATTTCAGAAAAGAATCATGTGATCACACCTCTCACCCCACACTGCCTATTTTGTTTTTTATTCCTTTGCTTATAAATCAGTGTCAGACTCCTTTCCTACAACTCTCTTCACAAAAGGAGACAGTAAAAATGCATAAGGTAGAGATTTATACACTGAATTACATTTCCCATTAACATATACATTTTATTAAAGCAGAACATCTGTCTCATGCTTACCTTTGATTTGCCTTTACTGTAACAGGCTCTTTTAGTTGCTTCATCACATTGCCATTCCACTGCCTGCAACCAACAGGAAACAGTTAGAAATGCACAGAACACAGAAATATAAACCTCAGAGCTATATAAGCCCATGCTTGGGATACATGCTTCAGGCATACTGATGGTTAGCTGTGGGTGTCCATAAAACATAGTTTTGCTGCTGATGGTTTTTCAGTGTCTTAAGTGAAGCTGGCCATCCCCATGACTCACTGTACCTACTGTAACAAGAGAAATAACCACAATCACATTTGATGCTATTTAGAAACTTTTGTATGAGTCTTATTAAGGCAAGTAGTTAGGAACACAGAGAACAGCTGAACCTCCTTCCCCAGCAGAGTTGGGCTGCATCAACACAGCGTATGAGGTCAGCTCTGCTGAGAGACCTTGCACTGTAGGAAAATGTGCCCTGTTTCTGGTTTTGCACTATTTCTCTCAAGCATCAAATGGAGATTTGAGTTTCTCAAAGTATGACTGCAGTAGTCATAATCAGAAGGACTAAAACATCCATTCAGAGAAAGGAGCAATGGGGTAGACATATACAAGCAATGCAAAACAGAAGCAATTTATCCTCATTTTTGAGCTGTCTCTCTGCTTCAACAGATTTATGCCAGGACTGTAATGCCTAGTCTGCATTACTACAGTTTCACAGCATGAGTTAACTCCAATTATTTCCATATTTAACATTCAACAGCTATGACTTACGAACTCTATTGTTCAGTGGAGCAGGTCGTATGCTTGGTGTTTATGTCTCAATACATGTACGTATTTGAATGCCTGTATATGCTGTGCAGTCAGAGTGCATTTTAAATCACTCTGCATTCTTTCACCTCGACAGTGAACATCCATATGTACATTAGACAAAAATGCCACAAAGCACTACACATATTATCAGGAAGAACTGAGATTTCTAAACTAACCACTGCTGCTTAATTCTTGAAACCAAAGCTTTTTCATTTTTATTTACCAGGAAATAACGAAAGACCATTCATTTAGATTTAATATAGGTAATTTTTTGTACCTGTCTTTTAATGGAAACTATATTAATAGCAAGTAGACTCTATAATTAATAAAAATAATAGGGTGAAAGCCTATTTAAACTAAATGGAAAATTCTTTCAGAGTATACTATGCAGTACTCTTTGATTTGTGTTTCAACAAGCCCAAGAATGATCTTTTTTCATTTTGGGGGGGAAAAAAAAGACTTATAAAAACTAATTTCTCCAGCCCAAATCTTCTCATTTACAGTGCTTGCTTTTGCAGATGAATTACTACAGAATATTGGGGAATATACTGAAAACTTCTGGAAGAATCCACTTGTGAATGACCCCAGAATTTATAACAGTTAGCAGCATAAAAGAAATGTCATACTGAGTTGGATAAAAAAGCAGCAATGACTTAACTCTTTGACTCTGTAGTGCAAAAAGCGATTTACATCCATAACAGAGACTGCTCTTGGACGACCAGCATAAGTTCCTAATCAATCCATTAGGACACCTTGAACCCACATGTTATATGGCACTAGATAAAAGTGTCCGATACTGAACATATTATCTTTAAACAAGACAAAAAATTTCAAATGTCTGGAGAAAAGCAAGAATTACCAGTAGGAGGTCAGAGCAGAAAGATTTAGTGGAATACCGATGCCTAAAAGGAAGGTTTGAAGGAAAGTTCTTGCCAGAACTGCATGGAGAAGAATATGCCAAGCATGAACAGCAGGAGGTAACAAGACAGAAAAACTGGATTAAAGACAAAATATTTATCAATAAATCAATTTTCAGTGACAAAATACCCAGCTTTCAGTTGGCTCTAAGTCCACAGCAAAAGAGTAATTTGAAGGATGTCAAATGCAAAAATTACACAATGATACAAATCACACAAATTAAGTACGTTTCTCAGGCACTGAAAGCTTTGGAAAAGAAAATACTTTGGCGATGGGAAATTCAGAAGCCAAAAGTGATAGTTCTTCAAGCTTTCCACAAAATCTGAGACAAGCATACAATGCTTCTCTGCAAGCAGGACATGGTTGGAGAATCTAGAACTCCAAGTGCGTAATAATGCAAGTAAAATTTAGGACAAGTCAGGCAGAAGTGCTGTGAACTGCAATTATAGTGAGAGAACACTGGGACAACTCCCTCTGCTTCCTTGTTCTTTGCCAAGTGATCATAGAGACCCAATCTATACACTGTTTCGGAAAAAAAAAAAAAAGAAAGAGCTGAAGAAAATAATTTCAGTGTTACCAAAACCAGGTATCCATCTCTGGGAGGGATGGACTCCTTAAGGAGCTTGCTAACTGCCACACTTCCAAGCAGGCATCAAACAGTAAATAATGTGACAATATAGAGCTATGACTATGAGGTGAAGCCTCTTGGAGTGGTACCTCCAGTACTATTTTAACTCAAAAGGGATGAGTTGGAAACAATCACAGACTGTTAGCTTTTAGTCAAATGTTCTTTTAGTTGGGATAAACTAACTGAAGACAGGTCTTAGCTAGACCTCTCAAATATTAAATATTAATAATTTTACCACCACATCACAAAACCACTAATACCATTATTAGTATAACTGAAAATAAACTTTCTTCACTTTCTTTAACATCCATCCACACAATGCATAGATTTAAATACAGATATTAAATATTAAAACATTATGCAATCTTACTGGATACCATAGTTTACAGCACATACAAGACCCAAATAGAATAAACTGTATACTTGCATATATTGTAACTATAGATAAATACATATGCTAGCAAGCTAACTAAATGGCAAACTCTCTGGTAAAACCCTGTTCATGACAACATATGCCAAAGGAGTAGTACTGTCTGGACAAGAAATAAGTGCAGACACAGTGGTGACAAAGTTAAGTGCCATCTTTGAAATCAAGTTTACTCATAGTCCTATAGCCCTGGGTTCTACTGCTGAAGGAGACAATAACAGAGCAAGTTGCAAATAAGGTATATTACAAAAACATCTGAAAAGAGCTGAGTCATTCAAACTGTTGTACTTTGGTCCCTAAGGTTCCCTCATAGTTCAGTAATGCATATGTCCTATTGCTGATTAAATAAAAAGAGCAGGTATAGACACACATTTCCATATATAGCTAATTTTTTTCTTATCATCTTCAGGAAATTTTGGGGAGTTTCCCACAAAATTGAAATTCAGATATCCAGCACAGCCTATTGCTAATATACAGGGGAAGACAGGTGGAAAACTCCTCAAGTTAAACATCATTTCAATGTGGAAAAAAGAGGAGAAAAATGTGTCCTGAATCTTCAGCACATAAAGACAAAACAAAATGCCCCAACAGAATAATAACAATGTGCTTTTTCTCAGTAGAAGATTAAGACTTTGAAGTTTTAATTCTGAAAGACCAGATGGACACAAACAGATTGTGTTATTTCAGAAAGCAAGTGCAAACCTGGGTTTATTTAAAGATATTATTGTTCTCCACTGCTTGCATTAAATTGACATATTCTCCTACTTGACACTGTTTGTTGATATTTCCATTAAGTTCAGATGAGCAGTGTAAATACAATATGCACACCAAGTTGGATACTTGATCTGCTGTGAAGGCCTACATAGCTAAAGTTTATCCTGTTAGGATCTTTTCTTTCCTACATCTCTTAATAAGAAGCTCTTATTTTCACATGGCAAAATACAGCCTTCAGCATTCTGTACACTGTTTTTAATTAATATTATAATTCTACTTGGGCTGGCAACAAAATTCATTGAACCAAATTATAGACACTCAGTTTGTTCGTTCTGGGGAAAGAGGAAGCAAGGATTTGAACATTAATGCTAGAGAAAATAAGGATGGGTAGTACATCGGCTATTGCTATGCATCTTCACAAAAAACGTAGCTGCATATGCTAAGGAGCAGGGTTTAAGGCAACATGTCAGTCTGTTTCTGATAGCACGCTGACACTATTCACAGAGGCACGGGCTTTTACAAATCCTGTTATCAATATGGTCTTCCAAGCACCTCTGTAAATTTAACGCCTTGGCTTGGTTTGTTTCTCATCTCCTAATCTTCAGCATAACTACATTCTAGTAGACATAAACTTTAGTTATGTAACAGCCACCAGCAGATCAGTGCAAAACGTATGCAGTGAGAATTGCGAAAGTCAGCACGGCCAGCTGTAAAGACTGAATTTGACGGGTACAACTTGAATTTGACCCAGTGCGCTCTGATGAGGAAGTCATGGTTCACTTTTGAACACATACTGTTTTCTTCAGTTAAAAAAAATACACAAAGCTCCATACACATTTGACATAAAATCAGACTGAACAGAAACATTGCTTTGGTGCACGCTTAACTCTAAGTTTAAGCTCAAGTTTCAAACTGATGGCAGGTATTTTTTTGTAAAAGCTCAATTGTAAATAACTATATCAGTGTTTTAAACATTACATCATTAATGTTTGTAAAGTACTTCAAAAACTTTAGATTAAATCTCTCCTGGCATTTTCAAGGGGTATGGAAAGACAGAATTTCCAGCCAGAGAAGAAACAAAGTTCAACTCAAGCTATACAATGAAACTAATATCTTGAAAAGGCAGAAGAATATACATCCAACATGCCCCCATATTAAGTTAAAAAATACAGTATTAAAGTAAACTATATTATTTGGAACAACAAATATACTTCATCCAAACAGGGAACTTAACTGAAAGATACGTGTTCTTGTTTAAAAGTTAAACTACTGTAACTTCATCAGGCAAAATAAATAAATGTAAAGAAATTAGCTCCAATGAAAACCAAAAGAAAACCTCCAGTCTAAACTGATTTATCCAAATACCTTAGAAGAACAGTAAAAGAGAAACATGGAAAGTGCAGAAGCAGCGAATACCGTTCATGTGTCTCTCTCATTTAAGAAATAACTGTCAAGGGTTTCTCTTCATGCCCAACATGCAGCAACAAAGTAAGTCCCCAGGCAAGACATCTGGAGGTCTCTTACAACCTAAATTATTCCATGATTTTCCAGAAAAATTACAAAATCCAAAAGGGGAAAAAAATCAAAACTCTA